AAAAAAAAAAAAAAAAAAAAAAAAAAAAAAAAAACAGAAAATTCGTGCAGTAGAAACTTGATTAACTAGTCTAAGTTAACCAATTAACATATTATTTAACTATCCTTTCGTTTTAAAACATATTATAAATTGATAAATTTATAAGAATTATTCCACTATAATTTGCAAAACACGGAAGTTAAGTTTTAAATAAATATAAGATTGGTAACTAGAAAATTTTGCTAATTGTTGGTGAAGAGACAGTCACTAATTAAGAATAGATTTAACAATCAATATAACTTGATATGCAAAATATAACAATAAAACTGCAGATTCTGAAGTTACGAGTCTTACAAATATTTTTAATCTCTATTGTAATCGAAATTCTACTGTATCGAATAATAAATCTTGCAAAAAAAAAAGAACAAATGAAAAAAAAAAGAGTAACAAGAAGATAAAAGATTCCTCTCTCATCTATATTTGGGACGTATAACAGAGAATGGGTACGCTTTATTCAAATTTATTTAAATGATCACCTTGCATACTCGAACCCAATTTGTAATTTTTACGATCACAGTTGCCACGGAAGAAAAACTGTACACTGACGTTCTCCGCGCATAATCTAGAAAAATGTACAAACGCATATAACAACGCTCACATGTGGCCGAGCAAGCTTAATAGAAAAAAACATTTCTTCTCTTCCTTAAAACAAATTCGTTTCTCCCTTCGTAGCGAAGAAAACGCTCATGTCGTGAAATGACGCGCTCGTCGAGGTTTTTATTTTTAAACATATAGTCCCTTAACACCCTCCCTAATTAACCTCGAGCTGTCTTCGGAAAAAGTATGGAATGTTTTGCTTCGTTATGGTACATGGACAACATGAAATTAATATTCTGCGATAATCGTATTTACAAGACTTACAAATCGCACCTAAGATAACACAAACTCGTTACCAGTTGCACTTCAATCTCTATATGGATCAAAAATGAAAAAGTATTTTCTTCCATATTCTTTTGATATTCACCATTTTCTTTCTTTAATTTTCTATGTTCTAATATATATAGTTTTTCTTTTCTTTTTTGTTAATATTTCAATATTAATAATTGTAGTGTATCGAAACAGAAGTGCCACAGATACGAGTGCATCCCTACATAGGAGCAGTGGCGTAGTCAGATGCACTTCCTGCATCTCGTTTTTTTGAACTTACTATCAACAGGTTATATATTCTTAATTTCATCGCGTTTTCTTTGAGAATTTTACAATAACATATGTACGTTGTAAAAAATCATGTTGAAGATACTCAGTCTTGTGCTCCATTAAAAATCCCCTTCATCAAAGATAACTATATGTGCATCTGAAAAACATTAGAAAAAGAAAATCCCTATACCACAAAATAACATAGTTTGGAACTGTCTAGATATATAATCATTATCATTAGTTACCAAACTTCCAAATGAATTGTTCACATGCTTACAGATTTAAAAAAATAACAATTACAATAACTTTGTGAATAAATCAATATGTCACAATATAAAAACATTCATTACATTTTATAAAAAATTCCTAGATCGTTTATATTTTGCTATTATGTTATTCAAACGAGTCTTTCTTTTTTAAATCACCCGAAACTTCTAACTACGTCACTGCAGAGAAAGTTATACTATCTAACACTCGGATTTGTCTTCCTCAACCAACTGTTGTGTATCTTTCCCAGAATCAATGGGTGTTGGATCAAGTTCTCTCCTCTTCAGGTGCAACTGTGGTGGTTCTTTGTGTTGAATGCTGGATGGTTTCATCTCAGCTGGCAATTCGTACATGCTACTCGCACCAGTGCCATTTGTGGCACCTGTTTCTGTATTTACTGCATCATACATGGGATTACTGAAGTCTCTATTTTTGTTACTCACATCACCAAGATTGTACTCCACATCTAAAGGTTCCTATTTAAAAAATATGTTGGTAATTAATACAGTACTATTTTATATTTATAGAATTATAAAAGTTTTATATGTACCATTCTTTCGTGAGCAGGTACGCCAAATTCAACATTGCTTCCTTGTCTGAAAGATACACTCTGAGCACCAGTTAAACTGCCAAGGCCTCCAGGCTTTCCACTGTAAAATTCATCAATAATATCATAGAATAAAATCAATAAAAAAAAAGGAGGAAACGTTAGAAATGAAGAAAATTTAAAAATTAGGAAATTCAACATAAAGAAAGGTATAAAAACTTATTAAAAAATTATATAACTTACAATGGCCGTTTCTTGAGCACCATAATAACAGCTGCGGCTCCAAGAAGAACCAATACAGAGATAACAATGGGTATGACGATGGCAGCGGTGGCGTTGCTCGATCTAGTTCCCAACATAATTTCACAAAATTCTCCGTGGAAGGGAACAGGACAATCACACTGTAATTTATTATCTTCAACTTCTTGACACAATCCACCATTCCTGCAAGGACAAATCCTCGGTGCTGGAAGTGGTCTTTCATTAGTCGCGTCGCAATGACGTTCATTCGATCGTATAGTCTCTCTTTGTTGAAGAGGACCAATGCTATCCGAGCAAAGACAACGATTTCCACCAGGAATTGGGACACAAAGATGGGTACATTGATCTTCAGGACAGAAATTTCTCAAAGAAGTATTATATCTTTGTTGATGATACACCTTCACTCCTCCCGCGTTAGGTACATATTTGATGATGACTTCTGGCACACCTCTACCAAATTTATCCTGCTTGATCAAATCACCAGTCATTCTAGATACCCAATACAGATTGTTCTCAAAGACATCCAAAGAAACTGGATGCTTCAGACTATCACCTTTAAGAATCACTTTCCTGTTTGATCCATTCTAAATAAAAATTGATGTTTTTGGTTTAAGGGTTTCTTGAATTTAGTGGAATAATGTGTACTTGAAATTTACCTGTTGAATAGATTCAATGGTGTTAAGTTTACTATCAACCCAATAAACGACATGTTGCATGGAATAATCAATAGTAAGCGCAATAGGTTGTCCAATTTTATCGGAAACTAGTTGTTTTCGTCTATTGCCATCCATCCAAGCGATTTCGATCTTGGGTTGACTTCCAGCATCTGCCCAGATGACTCGACCTAATTCTGGATCTACTGCAATAGAAGTTGGAATTTCTAAACCAACTGTTATTAGACTTCGACGGTATCTACCGTCTGCCTTTGAGACCATGACTCTTCCGAAAACTGTAGCTCCTGAAGAATCGATTTCTGTCCAATAGAGATTACCAGAAATCCAGTCTACAGCTAAACTTGTAAGTCCTGATTCACCTTTAAAAAAAAAAATCATATATATTAAATTGGTAGTATAGCATAACTTATAATAAGGTATTATAAATTAAAAAATTACTTTTTATGTTAAGATCTTGGGCATATCCAATCTTCACTTGTCCATCTTTAGCGTTCACCATATATGATCTTTTGATGGAATTATCATAACCATCGATCCAGAATACATACTCCGATTTAGGATCAAAGTCCAGAGCCAATACTCTTTTCTCATTCGCAATAACCTCGAATTCTTCTTTGTCATGAGGATCATAAGCTCTAATACCAGGACCATTGGCGAATAAGATCATCATATCAGTATCTACAGCTTTGCAAACACCACTACGATTGTCAGATAATTCGAAACCTTGTCTACAGGAGCAGGAGTAAGTGCCATTTAGGTTAGTACAAAGCTGAGAGCACTGATGCTGGCCAGTAGCACATTCATCAATGTCTTCGCAATGTTTTCGATTATATCGTGAAAATATATAACCTGAATAACAGGCGCAGATATAACCACCGTCGGTAATATTGTGACAATAGTGAGCACAGCCCCCCTTATTGCTGTCCAGACAGGGTTTATTGTGATCTACAATGAAAATGTTAAAATATGTTTAAGTTAGCAATGCTACAACAAATGATTCTACTTTTATAAGTTGATAATATGTCTGATATGTACTGAGAACAATCATATCGTGATAGAAAATATATAAATTTATATAATTTAATTTAATTTTCTACAATACGTTCAATATTAGTAAAACTTTGAAACTTACGACAACCAAATTCGTCAGAGTAATCTCCGCAATCATCAGCGAAGTCACAGAGTTTAGATCGATCAATACATTTTTTATTGGCGCACGTGTATTCGGTTATAGCATCACATGAGCGGACTCTAGAAGCGCACATAGTCATATTGTTTTCGTCAGAACCATCGCCACAGTTGTCAATGCCATCGCACAATTGGTATTTAGCAATGCACTTGTGATTGGCACACTGGAATCTTCTAATTGTATCGCATTTAAAGTTTGCTGTAAAATATTAAACATCATAATTAAACTAAATTGTATGATCGTACGTAATTATTGTATATGTATAAAAGATAGAAAATAAAAATCATACCACACATGCTGGGATTCTCGTCAGAGCCATCACCACAATCATCACTTCCATCACATTTGTCCGTGAGGTAGACACAGAGGTTGTTATCGCATTGGAATCTCGACTGTGGACAATATCGTCCTCCTGGATACCTTGGTGGGCATCCAATTTCGTCACTCATATCTCTGCAATCTCGTGTTCCATCGCACCTTAAGTACGAAGCTATGCAATGACCACTTGCACATTGGAATGTATCATCTTTACATACGAACTCTTGACAACCATTCTCATCACTATTATCGCCACAATCATCTTCAGAATCGCATCTCCATCTGGAGGCAATACACTTTCCATTATCACACCGGAACTCAGACTCTGAACATTCTCTATAACGGTTCTTGCACATTGCTTCAGCTTCATCACTACCATCCCCACAATCGTCAGCAAAGTCACAAAGCCATTGTTTAGGTACGCATCTATTATTAGTGCATTTGAATTCCATTTCGGAGTTACACTTAGGACAATTTTCAGAAAGTTCATCCGAACCATCGCGACAATCATCTTTTCCATCACAGAAGAGCCATTTCGGTATGCAACGGTAGTTAGCATGACCTGGACAACGTTGCCAACCAGTAGTACAATTTCTTTGACGACACATGTATGCTGGTTCGTCACTATCGTCACCACAATCATTGTCAGAGTCGCACATCCAAACTTTTTGGATACACCTACCATTTTTACAAGTATATTCTGTGTTTGGATCACATGGTCGATTGTCTATACAGGTGAGACAAAAGTATTTGAATCTTTAGTAACTTTTACATACTTTATTGGTTGTAATACGAGTAAAATTCTTAGAAGAAAAGACTTACGACAAATAGCAGGATCTTCATCGCTACCATCTTTACAATCTGCGTCGCCATCGCACTTCCAGGACTCGTGAATACAACGTCCACTCGACTTACATTTAAATTCTAATTCACCACATTCTAAGTTACAGTGAGCTTCGTCGCTTTTATCTCCACAATCATCTACGCCATCACAGACAGCGACATTCGGTCTACAGTTACCATTTGTACACTGGAAAACGCTGGGTCGGCAAACACGCGCTGGACAAATAGCAGGTTCATCTGAACCATCTTTGCAATCCTTTTCACCGTCACATCTTTAAAATCGACATTATTAATTGCAATTCAGCCCTATAATTACTGCCATTAAAAATGTGTTTCTACTTACTTCCAATACCACGGAATGCATTTTTCATCTGGAGGACCACAATTATGTTGACCAGCGGTACAATTAGGCCTACAGGTCTTCCCATCTTTGTCTAACACAAACTGATTGGGGCACTTGCATTTGAATGACGTTACACCAGGTTGACCATACCCTTCTAACAAATAAGAACTTGCAGGTGGCGAAATTAGACAGAGATGAGAACATCCGCCATTATTTTCTATGCATGGATTGTTGTAGGGCACCTGTCTAAGAGGATGGTATACATGGATATCATATGGCCTATGAGTAGTATTTCTAAGAAATCGCAAATTAGCTCCAGAAAATTTTTCTGCCCTACTGATGGATTTTAGATTCCAATCAGTCCAGAAAATGAAGTCATCAAATACTGTAATGGCAAAAACATGAGGCACAGCAGTTCCAGAAAGAACTTTACGCCTATTATGGCCTTCCAAGTCAGCAAATGCAATGTAGTCTAGATGAGCATCTGCCCAGAAAATTCTGTCAGTGAAATAATCAATAGTCAAAGCATTAGGCCAAGCTATATCATCCTCCCAAGTGAGAATCCTTGTGAAATTACTTCCATCCATTCCCATTTTGCCTATGTAAGCCTAAAAATCAAAACAATTATTGTTTTAAGTGTAGAATTTCATATACAATAAATTAAATTGCTTTAAAATTAATGAAAATTACCTGAAGATACCATGAAGTGAAATACAAATATCCTGTACCAGGATGAACAACAATTGCACGCGGATCAGCTATGCCACTTAATAGAGTCTTCCTGTTGGTACCATTAAGTTCAGCAACGTCTAAGTGTTTAGCATGACGGTCAAGCCAGTATAGTTTTCGGCCTACCCAGTCAATTGCAATTCCTTCTAAACCAAGGCTATCGTGTCTAATGATAGCCTCTTTCTCTCCTCCTATGATAGGTGCCCTGTAAAGAAATATCAAATGAAAGAATTAGTCTTATCAGTCTTAAATAAATAATTTTTGAAAATAGACTATTCAAATTTACCTGAAAATTGTCTTAGCAGTAACATCACAGAAATAGAGCATTTGTTCGGCATAATCAGCATCCAGAGCAACAACATTGATGAGATCCTGATGCATTAAGCTGTAGTTGGAGGCATCAATAGACATATTTCTGACATAGTACTTGTTCGTAAAGATGATCCAAGGTTTAGTATTATCTCTTCTTTTACATGTATGCTCATCAGCAGCGCGTTCGTACCAGTAATGGTTGCACTTACAATAGTAACTACCAGGTGTATTCTGACACTGCTGGCTACATACTTGTGGTGTCTCTGCACATTCATCTATATCAGCGCAAGCTTTTCCATCCTCCAAAAGTCTATAACCTGGATTACACTCGCAATAGTAACTTGTTGGTGTGTCAATACACTTGTGAGCACATTGATTCACTTCTACAAGAGCGCACTCGTCCACGTTACAATGAGCAGGTTCATCACTTTCATCTGCACAGTCAGGTTCTTTATTACAAACCAATCGTTGATCAATACAGTTTCCATTTGCACACATAAATTCCCCTGGATTTGGGCAAGTTGTATTCTTCACTTTTGGTGCTATAAATTAAAGAATATAATAATAATGATAATAATAATAATAATATATTGTTAGATATTTTATAAATTATTTATAATAGCAATATATTACTTACGACAACCATCTTCATCAGAATGATCACCACAATCATCTTGCCCATCACAGCGAAACTGCTTCCTAATACACTTGAAATTATGACAAGTAAAGTCCTGGCTAGTGCAAGCCTTATATCTGGAGTTACAAAACTTTCCTTCATCACTACCATCGCCACAATCATTATCATGATCACACAACCAATTTTGGTTCAAACAACGTCCATTGTCACAAGTAAAGTGATTCTCAGCACAGGGTGTTGGAGTCGGACAGTGATGTAGAGTCACATTTTCATCAGCTCCATCTACACAATCTGGGTCTCCATCGCATAACCATTTCTTTGGAATGCACTGTGCCCTATTCCAAATCTTATTTGCAGTACAAGTAAATTCAGTTTCCTCATCACATTTTCTATCATTACACTGATGACGTTCATCTTCATCAGAATGATCCAAACAGTCATTGTCTCCATCACAAATATAAATTCTGGGTATACAGTTTCCATTATCACAAGTGAACAAATCCCCAAAACAAGTCCTACCTTCTGACTGACAATAACCAGGTGGTTCATCACTTCCATCCAGGCAATCATTATCTCCATCACAATACCATGTAGCAGGAATACATCTATGGTTGGGACACCTGAAGGAGCTCTGAGGACAAGTTCTTTGAGCACAGTGTAATGGATTTTCATCACTATTATCACCACAATCATTGTCTCCATCACAAAGCCAATATGGCTCCACACATATATTAGTTTCTTCACATTTCAAATGATTAGGTAGACATGTAGTGTTCCTGGGACAACGCTCGTGAGTCTCATCAGAAGTGACATTATCTTTACAGTCATTGATACCATTACAGACCTGTGATTGTGGGATGCAACGATGATTGGCACAAGTAAACTCTCCAGGAGCACAAGGAGGGTATACACAACCTTCTTCATCGCTGCCATCACGGCAATCATTCTCATGATCACATTTCCAAGTCTTGAAAATGCATCTAGCATTGTTACATCTGAACTCATTGGGACTGCATGAATGGTAAGAGCAATAATTAGTATCTTCATCTGAACCATCGCCACAGTCATCATCACCATCACATGCCCACATTCTTGAAATACATCGTCCATTTCTACAAGCAAATTTACTGGAATCACAGGTTACATTCTTAGGTACACACATCCTATCTTCGTTTACGAGTCTGCTGTTATCATCACATTTACACTCTGCTGAGCCATTTATACCTGGATGACAAGATTGGTCACAGCCACCATTTGAAATATTACAAGGATTTACTTTACATTGTTGTCTAGCTGCTGAGTAGATATGTAAGTCCCTAGGTGAATCCTCCAATCGTTTCACTAGTTCTACCTTGTTTGCTCCTGTATGCTTTTCAGCACGATAAACTCCTCTTAGCTGAAGATCTGTCCAATAAATATGCTCCCTGAAAACTGTTATGGCAAAAGGATAAATTGTTGCACTGACTAAAATTTCACGATTATTTCCATCCAACTCCGAACGTTCTATCTTCTCCCTAACTGCATCAGTCCAGTAAAGCATCCGATCTTCATAATCAATTGCTAAGCCACTTGGCTGAGAAAGGTCTTTATCAATGATAGCTTTCTTCAATGAACCTGCCATTGTAGTTCTAAAAATCTTGCCTGATGTTCCATAACGACCCCAATCAGTAAAGTACAATGAACCATTACATGGATCAACTACTATGGCCCTAGGTCTGTCCACTCTGGCAATCATTACCAGATTTGACCCATCCAAATCCATTGCATAAATACTGTTATTTGATGAATCTGTCCAATAAACTTTTTTTTGTGTCCAGTCATAGGAGATACCCTCAGGATTAATTCCTTTACTAATTAGCGTGTGAATTTCAGAAGAAGAAGGATTTTCTGCTTGCATCCAGGCTATCTTGGCCCAAGGTCTAATTTGGGTGAACAGTAACTTTTTGTCTTGATAATCAAAGTCCACACCTACTACATTGCTCAAATTTCCAATTGAATTAAATGGCACACTGGTATTCTGTGGATCTAAACCAATGGCTCTAATTTCCGTTCTTGTGACGAACACCAAATATTCTTCTACATTCTCGCAATTTTTTCCATTTGCTGCTAATTTACCTACTGCGCATTCACACTTAAAAGGAACTGAGCTCTCCTTAGGCATAGCGAAACAGAGTTGCTCACAGCCTGCGCTTCCGCCTGGTGCACAAGGATTTGTTGGATCTGGTGGTTGACTGTTTTGATCGAACATGACAATATCTCTCAATTTAGGTAAATTTGATCTCACTGTTGTCGGTACACTGAAGTTACTTTGCTTGCTAGCTTTAAACACTGTAGCTAAATTTCTATCAACCCAATAAACATCGTTACCGTAAATGGCAACTCCCATAGGGTTAGGTAAGTTGCGCCTGATAATTTGACGATTTCCACCGGTATATGAGACCTTTTGAATAGTATCTTGCTTAGAATCTACCCAGTAGACATCATGTGTAACAGGATCAATAGTTATATCACGTGGAGTGCTAATACCAGAAGTAACTATAGGCACCCAGTTACTTCCATCTAGATAGGCCTTGCCTAGTCTTGGATACTGTCCATAATCTATCCAATAAAGATATTTTTTAATGGGATTTACGGCCAGTTCCCTGGGGGAATCTGTAGTCTTTTTCACCAATACTTTTCTGTTGCTACCATCCAGTTTACACACCTCTACATAGTTATCATGCGGAAACACATTGGTGAAATACATGTTCTCAGCCACCCAATCAATAGCAAGACCTCTAATACCATTTGAACCAATACCTTGTTTTACAATATGCTGTAATTCAGTACCATTTGGTCTAACACGAAATATTCCATTCCACATTAGACGATTGAACTCTACCCAATAAATCCAATTGCCTGCGCTGTAGACGTCTACATGGAGAATATGATGACCCACACCAGAGATTGGTACCATTGCTTCCTTTGCATCTTTCAAACTGTATCCTCTGGCTACATCCAGTTGAGTAACTACTGCAAAGGTCTTGAAAGGTTCACAAGAAGTATCACTGATTTTGCGATATTCCATGCCACAAGCACAAACTCTAGTACCTCCAGAAGCTGGAAGACAGATCTGTTCACAGCCACCATTATTCACAAAACATGGATGATCTCCAGTGACTCGTTTCTTATAAATAGTTAATGTTTTTAATTCAGAATCATTGTCGATTATTGTAGTAGGATTACCTCCATCAGGTAGGTCAACTCTTTCTATTTTATCATATCGTGGATCAAGGAGATATAATCTGGACTCATGAACAGCAAGTGCCTTTGGTAATGCTATGTTCTCTGAAACAATAGTTCTTAGATTTCGACCATCTGTTGAAATTGCCATAATCAAAGCTGGATGTAATGAACTGAAGTAAACAGTTTTGGTAGGAATATCAATTGTAATGGCTTCTGGTCTTTCCACATTGTCAACCAAGATAATAGGATTTGTACCATCCATATTAACTCTTCCAATTTTCATAGGAATACCAAAACTACCATCATCTACCCAGAATATATGTCCTTCAAGGGGATCTACACACATAGCCTTTGGCTTGGCAACAGATGTCTTGTTGCCATTATTAGCAAGCACTATTGTTCGATATCTAGTCTTGCCATCTACCTTTATTGCTTCTATATTTGAAGCATATTTATTTCCTATAAATAAATTTCTTCCTAGCCAATCAAATGCCATTGCAGAAGGTGCTCCAACAATTCCACTGTCTCCAGATGGATTGGGAAACTCTGTTCTGTTTCCACCATTATAAGGAGTTGTATAAATAGTACCATTCTTGTCGTCGTCATCCTTAGTTTGAAGCCAATAGATCATTCTTTCTTTCCTATCATAATCTATGAATTTACCTCCTTCAACTCCAACAACTGGAGTTATATAACCAGTTTTGGTACTTCCTGGCACTAATGAAACATCTACAATCTGAGAGCTTCGTAGAACCATCAAATAAGGTGTCTCTTCTTCTAAACACTGTCCACTAAACAATAATTTGAATCCAACTTGACATTTACAAGTGTAACCCTGAGGATTAGTAGGTGATAACAAGCACAAGTGAGCACAAGTAGCACTTGCACAAGGATTTGGGGTGATTGGCTGTAGAACAGGATGATGCACATGTATTGACAAAGGTTGAGATATCAAGTGGGATACTACAGTTTGATTTACTCCATAGAACTTATGAGCTGATAGTACTCTATTTAACTGTCTGTCTGTCCAATACATGGTGTCCTCAAACAATGTTAAAGAATGAGGATGCAGCAGATAGTGGGAACTAGCTAATACTTGAATTCTTTTGCTTCCATCATAAAGGCAAGTATCAATAAAGTCTAATTTACTATCAGCAAAGTATATTCGCTTATTTGCAATATCTAAAGCAAGACCATTTGGCCAGTAAATTTTGGTACTGATGATGGTTGATCTGTTAGTACCATCCATACCAATTCTTTCAATTCGAGGATATTCACCCCAGTCTGTCCAAAAGAGCCATCTTGCATCAGGACTGGGATCTAAACACATGCCTCTAGGTTGAGTAATGTTTTCTTTAACCAATATCATTCTATTGGTACCTGTTTCTTTGGCTACTTCAATAGTGTTTAATTTAGAATCTAACCAGTATAAATTCTGACCTATCCAATCATATGCAAGACCTTCCACCAAATCCAATCCAATTGATATTACATCCTCGGGATCACTACCTCTATCTAACCTAGATATCTTTTTTAATTTCATGTCTGACCAAAAGATTGTACCAGCGTGCATATTACTAGCAGTTGCAACAACATTCTCTACATTAATTGGTACTCTTTCCAATGCTTGTTCCTGTAGATCAGATACTAAAATTGTGTGTCTGTTAGATATAATCAAAAACGCAGCACTATGATTAAGTGCTTTGCAATGTTTATCTTTCTCCAAAATATACCCATCAACACAATTACAATAGTATCCACCTTTGACATTGACACAGATCTGAGAACAACGTCCAGGGGGCTCGCATTCATTCAAATCTTGACAAGTATAGCCATCACTGCTAAGTTCTTCACCTGGAGGACATGTACACTGTTTACCCACAGGTGTTTGGATGCATTCATTACTACAATAACCTCCGAAGTATTTGCATTCTTGGAAGTCACATACTGGACCTTCATCTGCACCATTAGGACAATCAAATTTACCATCGCAGACACTAGTTATATTTACACATCTATCAGTTACATATGGACATTTCCATTGCTGAGAATCACATTTGAATTCAGGTGTAGTACAAGCGTGCAATTCGGTGTCCTCGTCAGATCCATCACCACAGTCATCTTTTCCATCACAAATATATGCCTTGAATACACACTTCTCGTTACGACATTTGAAGAAGCCTGGTTGACAACCAACTTGTCCGCAAGAAGCCGGCTCGTCAGATTTATCTAGACAATCTGGACTCCCATCACAGTACCAACTTCGTGGTATGCAAATCGCAGAGGTAGCACATTGGAACTGTTTATCAGTGTTACATTGGTCTGGTGCTAAAGAAGGACAGCCGACCTCGTCGCTACCATCGTTACAATCCGATATACCGTCACACCTATATGAATCAAGAACGCACATCCTCTGATCAGCGCAAGTAAACTGAGTACTGAGACAAGTAACAGGCGGACAATCTATCTCATCCTGTTGATCGAAACAATCATTATCTCCATCACAGACCCAGGATCGTGGAATACAGTGTCCTGACCGCGGGCAAGTGAATTGAAAGTAAGAACACGTCCTCGCCATACAGAATTCTCCCTCATCAGAATTGTCTCCACAATCATCTTCAGAATCACACTTCCAAGTGTAGGGTATGCATTTGTTGTTAGCACAAGTAAATTGATTTGCATCACAAGTTATATTTGGACAGCCAAGTTCATCACTGAAGTCTCCACAATCATTCACAGAGTTGCAAAGAAAGCTCATGGGAATACATCTACCAGATTTGCATTGGTATTGATTAGGTGTACAAGTTGGTTTGGTGCAGTTTCGCTCATCGCTATTATCCAGACAATCATTCTCACCATCACAGACCCAGCCATGTGACACACATCTCTGATTAGCACAAGTGAAGTCCCATGTGCTAGGACAGGCCTTTAAAGGTGGTTCACTTTCTGCATTAGGTGCACAAGTTTTGCCATCTCCTTGAATGCGTTCACCATAAGGACAACCACAGACCCTGGTTAATCTGGCAGTATCGTATCTATTAGTATTATTCTGGGGAATAGCAAAGCACAATTTTTCACATCCTCCATTATCAATAGAACATGGATGATCCGGTAAAGAAGTCTGAATGTCACGACTGTAAACTTTCACACCATACAGTCTATTTGTTTCAGGTTGACGTACAAGAATGGACTCTTGTTCTCCAGTCTCTTTATCGAGTCTAATAATAGCATCTAGACGCCAATCGGTAATGTACATCCATTGTTCATAAATAGCCATGGAAAAGGTATGCCTAAACAACCTAGAATTAACTGTTCGTACATCAGTACCATTCAAATTGGAATGTTGTACATGATCTAGAAGAGCATCACACCAATACAATCTATCCTTTGCAAAATCAATAGCTAAACCATTGGGCCACCCCAAAGTTAAATTCTTGAAAACCATCAGATTGGAACCATCAGTATAGGCTCTACTGATATTTGCAGGTCTATCCCATTCAGAGAAAAAAATATATCCCTGATTAGGGTGAATAACAATAGCCCTTGGTCGTCTTAAATTCTTTAACAATGTTCTGCGATAAGTGACATTTCTCGTACTCAATACATTCAATGTTCCTTTCCTGGAATCGATATAGTATAAATTCTTGGCAGCCCAATCAACTGCAAGGCCTTCTACACCCTCATTTTGACTAGCTAATACAATCTCCCGACCGGTGCCACTTTGGCGAACCCGGTAAATGACATCTTGCAAAACATCACTGTAATAGATGTACTGATCGTGTGCGTCGAAGTCTAGTCCAACAAATCTGGCTCTCTTAGAAACCACAGGTGAGATTGCATCACTAAATCCTTCCATTACAGGGTCCAGCACTCTGCCCTTAATGAATCTCTGTTGTGAATACATTAAAAACTCCTGAACTAAATTGCAATTCCTCTGATCACTAGATAATCTCCATCCTATATCACAGGCGCATCGATACCCTAATCTATTTTCCTGATCACTGGCTGCAGTTACTATGCACATATGCTGACAACCACCATTATTATTCCCACAAGGATTGGAAACCATTGGCTGAGTCAAAGGATGTAGAGCTTTAATAGCCTTTGCATCTCTCATTTTATAAACATTCTGTATGGAATAATCACCTCCTGTTTTTTCTACACTCATGATAGCTTGCTTTGTACCATCTGTCCAATAGATTCTATTTTCAAAAAGCGTCAGTCTCGTTGGAGATGGTGTATGTGGACCTCTAAGTACCATTACTCTATTTCTTCCCAAATAATCAGCAGTTTCAATATAGTCCAATTGAGAATCACACCAAAAAATCCTCCGAGCAATCACATCCACAGCAACGCCGGATACTCTATATGCTGCCTCAAATACAATTGGGAAGTCTTGGGTTCCATCCATGTTAGCTCTCAAAACTTGTTTACTGTCGGCTATGAACATCAAGCCTACTGTAGGATCCAGGCCAATATCAGCTGGATTAGTCAGATTAGAACTTAAAGCAATGCCGTGGAATCTTCCGTCTAATTCAAGTACATCAATCTTTTGAACTACATTGTCTACTATGTATAACTTTTCCCCTATCCAGTCCACTGCAATGGCAACTGGGCCCCATGAGCTTGTCAAGTATATAGCCACTCTAGAACTAGAATCTTCGCCATTTAAAGGTTCTGACTGCACTTTCTTGGTCTTAACATCGCTCCAGAAAAGTAAATCTCTAAAATAAAGGTAATCCACTCCACTTGCACCAGTTGTATTAGCAACAATGGTCTTGGCTTCACCGCTAGGAGACATTCTCCAAACAGCTCTATCTTGAGCGACTAACAGTTCCAGTTTCACACCAGGATGTTGTTGGGCTCTACACTTGTTGCGTGCCTGCAGTGTGAAACCTGGAGCACAACTGCAGGTATAGGAACCTTCCGTGTTCTCGCATAATTGTTCGCAGAAGCCCCACTCTGAACACTCATCACGATCTATCCAGTGGAATGGTAATAAGAAGCTTGTCTGACTTTGTTATTCCTTTATAAAAGGATCTGACATACCTATGCAAGTTATTGAGTCATTTGCAAGAACCCAGCCTGCAGGGCAATAGCAAACTCCTCCTGTGGGAGATGCCCGGCATTTATAACGACATGCTAGTGAACTGCATATAACTGATGCTGTGAACAAAAAAAGTAAGGAGTTATAAAATATACCTATTTTCCATTTAGTTTTTAACCAATGAAACAGAAATCCATTAAAGAGAATTATATGATCGTACCTTGTCTAAAGATCCATATTTCAGCATATCAATTATAACAGAAAATGAAGTAATTATGTTTTAGTTGATAAATTATTAACTTGTACAAGAATATATTATTTTATTGACTTCTTAATACAAACAAACGTTATAAGGAACTCCTATAAAGAACATGATACTTACAACAACTGGTTTCTTCGTCTGTTTCATCCTCACAATCAGGTTTTCCATCACAAACTTGAGACCTATCTATGCAAAGTGGTTTGCCATCAGCTGTTCCTCTAGGACACACAAATTTGTTTCGAGGACATGTGGTTGTGGTGCAGGATTTTTCATCAGATCCATCCTGGCAATCCTTGTAACCATCACAAACATAGGATCTTGGTATGCAAAGTGAATTTGCACAACGGAATTGGTTGATTGTACATGGTTGGAAGTCTAAAAATGTCAAACTCTCATCTTAAACTGTTAGTGGAATATAATGGGAAAATAAAATGAAATTAGTAAACATAATGCTATAAATTAAGAAAATCTATAGATTAAAAAAATCACTAGACCTGAAAACTCACTAGACTTAGAAATTCACTATCCTTAAAGTAACAAAGCTTTACATCCTACCAACATAGAAACAGAAAATCCCTAATGTGGAAAAGTAAGCATTTAAAGTAAATACAAAATTAAAACATACTGCAATTCTCTTCGTCGCTATTATCTCCACAGTCATCCTTGTAATTACACCTGGCTGATTGTTCAAGGCAACGCTGTGTCGAATTACACCTGAATTGATCTAACCTACAAGCTGGTTTCGCAGTGTTCTCACATTTCTCTTCGTCCCGACCATTTCGACAGTCTAGGTAACCATCGCACTTTTTTTCTTTTGGAATACAAAGCTCTGGTGTCGTACCACCACATCGAAAATCATCGGATTGGCATTTCCTGTAATCTTTTCAACGTTTGTGGTCAATAATTTTAGCTTCATAATTTTGGTCTCGATTTTTGAATAATTTTTAAAATAAATAGCACAATCAAATTTTATGATCTTTCCTACATCTTCTTTCGTTACTAACATTTGGAGACATTGTACGTTATCAGATGACTAAATAAAGCTACATAATTTCAGTCGTAATGACAATATGCTAATGTAGATAATTACAGCAGTATAACTATTTTGGTTATATAAAAGAGCTATTACTTTCATCTTCAAAAACACATTATGCTACATAAAAAAATTAAAAATTAAATTCACATTGTCATTATCACATTACTGATAGTTTGTTAACATATTTTACTTCTTTGTATTGTATAACTTATGTAAGTTAACAAATACTCACTGCAACCAGCTTCATCGGTTCCATCGACGCAATCGACAGTTATGTCACATCGCTGATGGGGAGGTATACAGTAGGTCTTGTTGAAAATGTACTGGCCACAAGTGATCTGACCAGCTTCACAGTCTGGTGGTGCTGCAAATAAATTTATTAATCAGACATGTTGCAATTATTCATCAGTTGCTAATCAATGTAATCAATGAGTATTCATTTATTTATATTTCTTACAATGTATTATCAATAACAATACTTCAATAACAATATTAATTAATGATACTTATTGATAACTGTAGTGATTACTGATAATACTAGTTTAGCCTTGTTATTATTATTATATTATATTAATAATTTTAGTAATACATTAATTTCTAATCTTACATTTGAGTTATATATTGTAAAATATATACAGAGAAAACTAATCTTGTGTCTAGCTATCAAAATACATATATCATCAATAGTTTAATTCTCAAGTGTTATCACATTAGTCATGTAAACAATATTAATTCTATTCCAGAAATAACAAAAAGAGTACAAAAATACTCTTTAGCAATACTTGAAATATTGTCTGTTAACAATAATGAAATTAACTAATGAACAATTTATAATTGCATAATTTTAAACGGTGCTTATATAATCATGAACAAACTACAGATTCAAAATCTGGAAACAAAGTTAAGGATTATATAAAAGTGTGTTTAATACAATAATAGTTTCCCAGTGGATGTATTTTACTTAAAGCTGTTGTTGGAAATACAACAAAGAGGATTTGAATCTTCCTGCCGGATGTGTTTTCCTGATCGATCATAATTTTCGTTGTTCCGTGTTTCGTCCTTATCACAATAACAAAATATCACTACCGCCAATTTTTGCGGCGAATTAAATTGGATATGTTTTACACGAATAATAATTGAAATTTTTTTCAATCAATTTCAAGAACATTCTAAACAATTCAAGAAATCAATGTTATTTAATTTGAATAAATTTCTACAAGTACTTACTGCAAGATTGAAATTCATCTTCCGCATTTTTGCAATCCTTCTGATAATTGCAGACTAAAGTAGTCGGTATGCAGGTGCCATCGAGACATCTAAAACTATTGACACCACAGCCGCTGCCATCAGCTGTTAAAATATAGAAAATAAGCAATTAATTGGTAGAAACTAAAAGTTTTGCTATAAAATGTTGTATCTCTTTCTGAAGTTTAATCTAAATGATGATTTAATGCAAAAATTTCAATATTTTATCTCCCTCCAAAAAGTCCCTTATTTTTGCAGTCCTACCACTAAACGAAAATTCCCTGGTATATTATCAGGCTTGGTTTAATAGAAAATTCGTTAAATTCAAGTAACGATGGTAGTTTGTTTGTAATGTGCAAATCGTTAAGAAAATAAATAAATCAGAAGACAACGGATTAAAACAAAAGATGAACACTCGTGACTTGATGACTCAATGTATCAATGGCGTGATAGGTGAAAGGTTCAATGGATACTGGCAGCTCCCTCTTGAGATACATTGAGGACTCTTCTCCGCACAACCGGAATCGAAAAATTCTTTTTAATTTCGCGTATTTTGTTAATTTGGACATAGGAAAACAGGATAATAAAAATTGTAGCGTTCAATTCCTAGATAAACCTATTTCCGAACATTCATGGATAAAATATAATCTAGAATGTTGCTTTCGAAAAGATTTGTAGTAGAAATTATATTTCGTGATAGAAGTATGTATATTGTGCGACGTAGGAGAAATAATATAATAAAGTATCGTTGATTAGGGTACAAAACTTGATATAGCCAAAGAATAACCAAGAACTTTGAAATTTTTTAATTAAAAACGTGAAAATTAAAAAAAAATTTATTAATATAATAATTATGAACACAGTATTTTGATGAAGACATAATTTTATCGATACAAGTATCCAATATATTCTTTGAGAAATTTTTCGTGGAATATCTAGTCGGTGAATATTGTTAAGAATATTCAGAAAGCGAAAGAAGCAGTCTTATTGCATGTGATATTAATATGCAAGATAATAGGTGATTAACGTAATTTAACATCATTTAAAGCGCTGCTGATGTGAAATTTTGCTTGAGGAGATCGAAATCGAATTGACCGAATACCGATTGGTGCTTGTTACTAACCTTTCTTAAAAAAGGAAAAAGAAGAGGGAAAAAACCTGTGCAACGATTTCGAATTCTTTCATTCAAGCGACTGACTTTCTATAAAATTTATGGAACAAATGAGCGGACTTTTTAGCACGTAAGAACAAGCTCCGTTCCTAATCCATGTTGCATGCGTGCACACAATTATAATTATGTGCGCAATTATGAGAGCGCAAATTACAAAATTTTAGCGCAAGATATTTTCACTAAATGAGTAGGAACGATGTTATCTAATTCATATATCTTACTTTCTTTTTATCCTCTGCTTCAAGTGTACCAAAAATATAGAAAAAAGAAACAGAATTTTTAATTTTATAAAATCTGATTTCATGTGCAACGTACCAATGATAAGTAAAAGAGTTACCGACAGAACCTCGAAAACCCTAGATCTAGGGACTTTCTTTCAGTAGGCTCCCGATTTCAGTTCAACTTATTTGTCAAAGAATTTATATGGCGCGAGATTATGATAAAGGTAAAAAGAAGAACAAAAAAATGGATCATTACAAGAAGAATCACCCATGAATGAGAGATACAACGGTACTGGCTGGTACCGAATAGATAGAATCTAAGTAGAATCTAGCTAGAATCGGTTATCTAGCACGTACCTACCTGCCGTATATGTGCATCCTTTCAAGGATAACATCAACAGGATGCTTAGCCTTTCTCGTTCGATGACGTATTTTCAATAATATTGGCACTTACTGCCACAAAAGCGAGTACCAATTAAGGTTATAATTTAATGATTGTACTATGATAGTTTGTTATCGACCTAAGTTGATTTAATAAGATTGACATGATTTTGAATGAACAATAATCAAGAAACACGTACGGGCGAGAGATTTCGAAAAATTCGGATGCGAGATGAAAATATTAACATTATTTTTCCATATGAAGATATCCAAATTGAAAACATTTTATTATTGTTAGTCACGAAAGCACCAAGGACGTGTGCTTAGTAAGAAAACAAATGGTTCTTTGTAGGCAACTTTTGGTTTGGCAATCGCTGAAAATGACACGTTCCTTCCAGTCTTCGTATTTAATAACACATGAACTTTGCAGAAATGCTTATAGTTTTGATAAGTAAAACCTTCAATTCGCGAGAAATATTGCTAAATAAAGAAATGATTCATGCTTCAAAATTTTAATCTGTTCCTTAACTACAATTACCATAAAACGTGATTATCATAAAAATGATTATAATCCTACTATGCAGAATTTTATGAATCATTTCCAATGGCTAATCCAGTTCGATTTATTTTATACTTATCCTACGTACCGAAGAGGCACGCTCATTCCTATTTCAATACCTCTATTACCGAATAAAGGAAAACAATGTATATGCAATAATTAAAACTTGAATTCCTTATTCCAACTTAAATTTAATTCGACTAAACTATACCCAACCTAACTTATTCTGTTCGGTTAAACAATTCATGAAAATTGCCTTTAAAGTAACAAATTGATCGAAAAGCCATTGCAACAGTCCGCTCCTCTGTATTCTTGCGCAGGTTGCGAATTTTCTCATCTCCGTCCCCGTGCATCATGGACAGAGGTGTGCTATAACGGTGTGCAGGAGAGACGAAGAAGCGTAGTGGATCGAACAGAGATAGACATAGCAAGGGGATGTCGGGGTGGAGGGGTAATGCACCGCTCGTACCAGGCGGTGCGCCCTGGTACCGACAGCGTGTCGGTAGACTCGGCCAGACTCAGCGAGACTCGATCAGGAGTCGTAAAGAAGAAATGGAGAGGGGAGAAGCCCAGAAAAGTGCACTCGCCTACCTTCGTTCCTCACCACGATCTTTTTAGCACAATCCTGTCGCGACCTTCTCTAACAGAAAGGTTCGATAGATCCACGAACAAGAAAATCAACGATGAATTCGGGAAAGGGATTTGGAAATTAGGACCTAGAAAATATTACTTCTTGAAATAACCCTTACATTTTCTTGGTTATAATCGTATAACCTTATACGAAAAAGTAGCGATTCCGTTTTCCAAGATGGCAGTACTTCAATGTAACAGATTCCCGCTAAGGAAACAATTAATGGATCCGAAAAGGTAAATTGCAAATTAGGATCTAAGAAGCATTACTTCTCAAAATTATTTCTAAATTTTTCAACTTATGAGAAAAGGATGATACTGTTTTTAGAGAAGTAAATGTTATTTCGAATATCTAATATTTTCCGTAATATTTCAAAATTTTCTGCACACAACAATTCAACACACAACAGTTTTTTAATTATATACCGTACGAAAATTGATAGATTTAATTAAGGTGTCTTGCAATTATTAGACTCGTCGTCCACGAAGGAACAATTATTCAATTGCCTAGCACAAATGAGATTTTATGGACACATAAAGCATTCATTGTACGAATGCTTCAGTCATAAAATAGTGAGACTGTTTTTACACGTCTGAGAGGATCTTAATGATTAGAAATCACTTTCACTGACTGTCTGATGTAAACACATGTAGTCAGACGCCTAATTATCTGGGATAATTTTGTAACATTGTGCATATGCAACTCGCAGAAATATAATTAAAAGGTGATTTACAATAACAATATATTGAAGATCTTAGTTCGTAACTCTTAGAGTCTAATATACCTTACCAATATTATAGTATACATATTAAAAACATGATACTATTACTACTGAAATTATTATTAACTTTTTTACATGATGTTAGGGTCATATTATAAATTATTTGAATACAATACTCATTTTATCAATATTACTGTAGTAAATCCCTAAGATTATATTTCAAAAAAAACTAACGTAATATTTTTGTTCCAAGTGACTGTCAACTATCCGCTATTTTTTCGAAACCTCAGCCATGAAAAGAGCTCGTAAGACATCGATTGTAAAAAAAGGTGGAACACAATTCCGGCTTAATAGCCTGTAATTTGCGTCTACAACGGAATCGAAGAATCTCGACGTGTCATATAACGGATGACCGATAAATACAGCCTTGTCCTGGTTTTGTCGTTCAGTCTAGATTCCTCGTGACCAAAGAAAGAAGGAAAGAAAACGATAATCCAAAAAATGTATATCGAATGTCGAAAAGAAGGTACTTACAAACGTTTACGTCTTAATTCGATGCCCTTTCTCAATTAGTGCAAGTTCTCCAGAAATCAATACTAATCGGATTATGTGTTCAAAATTCCTTAAAAAACAAATGGACTATTCAATCTTCGATTCCTAACCATTATAATTAAAATATATATATATATATTTTTATAGAAATCAATTAAAGGTTTCATCATTGATAAACTCGTTCTTTCTTTCAATGTATACAAGGTACATGAAACAACATTGCAAATTTTAATGTAAATTCGGGCGACACATGCTATTAAGTTGCCATTATTGTCCGTAATTATACAACGAGTTAATCTTAACGAGGTAAAATGGTTTAAAAATTATGTACATGAAAAATTAAGTTAAGACTTTGACATGACAATATCATATGCGACTGCTATTAAATTTCAGAGTCAAGGATGAATACGAGCAAACGAAATTTCACATAAAAAATTATTTACTTGTATAAATTAATTCCAGTAAAAACTTCAACATTGAACGTTATATATCGAAAATAAAATAGGGTAAAGTTCCGTTTCTAATGAATATCATGCTAGACGATACAAATTCATTCCATGAGAATCTTTTCTACCTTTTAGGCTCGGTTTCACCTAAATGGAAATTTTTTAACACTCCGTAGAAAGTTTACCCTTAAATGATTATAAAGACGAATTCTGTTTTCTCACGACGCTTATGGCTATGTGACTCTTTCACAAAAGTATCGCTGATCCCCGTGCTTCTAAAGAAACGATGATAAAAATAAAACAATGGTTTCTGCATGATCCGACGTTTTTTTACTTCCATACCTGGATTTGGCACCATTTGCGAAACCTTCAAGAAGTTTCGATTCATAGTGGCCAACAAAAATATTTAAACGCTGAGAGGTA